AACAATACAGAACTTGTTAAATCAGTGAAGTTTTGATATCTTCAAACTGAATACCAAACCAAACATAGAACACGTAACAATGGTGAAGTTTTTATATACTTCAAATCCGTACGTTTATTATTCCGGCAAAGTTTTTATGAACTTTAAACCGGACAGAAACTATTATAGGAGTAGAAAGCAACAAGGCTTTAGTCTCCAACAAAGTATATAGAAAACAGTTTAATAATCAACACATAAACGTTAGTAATATTATAAAATTCCTTAAGCTTGTGAGAGTTACTGTGTTAAAACAAAAAATCAGAAAACTGTTAGAAGAATAAAGAAATGTATAAAATAGTAAAGAAACAGAAATATTCCGAGTCCACAATTTTCTTGTGCGTCCTTAAGGAATTTTAATCCCCTCACAACGGAATAAACCTTCCTGCAACAGTGGCAATACAAACTGCACGATACCAACGAACTCAAAGAACGGAACAAAATCACACTTACGAATTTGAGAGAGAGAGACTGCGAATTAGGATGCAGTATATTCAGAAAGAAAGAAGTTCTAGAGTGTTTTTTCGTGTCTTGAAGATGCAGCCTTGCCTCAGAATTTATAGGCAAATATCAGAAGAGGTGTCTGGAAAGGTGCCTTTTCAGAAAATACGCGGCCAACGAGGCCCTCTGAACTTTCAGCAGGGTTCTGGCGTAGTTTCATCAGTGATTTGGCATTTAATTAATTATTAAATAATTAAATAAATTTTGTCCAAAAAATAATCTTATCGATCATTTGCTGAATCCGAATCCGAATCCGAAGCCGAAGCCGAGCCGAGCGAGCGACGACGACGGCGCGAGGGTTCATTCTCTTCAACTCCTTTTAAGAGCTTTAAGAAGTGAATCTATATATAAGCACACAAATGTGATTGTCCATCACCATTGAAGGACAAAGTGCAAGACAAAAGTTCACTTCTTCAAATTTTCATTTTCCCTCCATTTCCAATTCACACTTCTTCTACTTTAAAGCCCAATGGCTTAAAGTCCAACAAGAAAGTGCTAAAATAAACACTTCGTTTCAGGGATATATCAATGAATTAATCAACTATGCCTTGATTTCAAACTAGTTTAGGTCAGTTATATGAATCATGTGCATCCATTCCGCTCTATTCGAGCCCATTTCGTTCCAATATTAAGTAATTTGGTCTTTAAGGTAAAAGTAGAGGTTCTCTAAAACTAAAAATTTCCCAAATCTCATTTTTATACCTACATAGGTATACGACTTTCTAACCAGACAAAAAGGACTCTTGATAAATAACTACACTTTATTATCAACTAGTTGGTAATTGCCTACATGGATATTTACTACTATTGAGTTATGGTTTTAGCTAAGTCTGCATTGATTCTGAGAGATTGTAGGTTTTTTGAATTAAGTTCGATCTATGTTTAACCCTTTAAGGTTTCTCTCATCCGTATATAGCACTTTCATCTTATTATTGCATCTAGGCGCCAGTGCTTTTGGAGGTTTGTGTGGGACTTGGCCAAAACATTTTAGGCAACCTCTCATTTATCATCTATGTGTGCTACTTGCACCCTTTGTTGGATGTAAGCAATTCTAATCTTGTCTAATCCTATATGGCTGCACATCCATCTTGACAAAAAAATTGCCGAAGGTTGCAGCGTTCTATCCTACTTAAGCTATATTTTCATTGCAGACGTTTAGAAACATAACAATGATTTTCCTATATATTCAAGAAAAACATGGCAGTGAGTTGCAATTGCATCTTTATCTGATAAGGAATATTGTTTTGATTCAACAATATGTGAAGCATTTATTTTCATAGTTGTTTTCCTTGAGGTTGTATGCCAATAAACAATGTGAATGCATCTAGATTATCTTCTCGACAAGGATTTTGTTCCATCTTCTCTCTCTTGAAAGTTGAGATTTTAAGCTATTAGGACCGAATTTTGATTTGATTATATTTTGTTTGAATTTTTATGACCGGATATCACATATTGCACTTTTTTGTATGTACTTGGGAGTTCATATGTGAATGCAGTATCTTTTGTTGGTGGTTGGTTCATCATGCTGTAAAAGATCAGAGGAGACTTAAGTACTGGTCTTTATTAACGTGGTTAAAATTTTAGGAAAGGGGAGTTCTTATTTAAAAAAAGTTTAGGCAAGGGAAGTTGAAAGGATATGAATTTTATGTGAATTTAAAAAATAAAATAACCCAGCAAGATACATTTTAGGTTTTGTTTTCACGTGCAATTTCTAAAGATTATTGTGTTTTGGAGGGTGACTTTCTTTAAATTATAGTAATTGTTCTGTTTCAAAAAAAAAAATAATAGTAATTGTTATGGAAGTGCACCATTTATTATGGGTTGTGCATGGTCTTTGGAGATTGATGGTATGAATCCTTTTGACTTTTTTATGAGAAAACGTCCAAATTTGGCTTGCGTAAGTTGATAGTTGAAGCCGTTTTGACCAGATCTCTTGGCTTTCTACTTGGCCTAACATGTTCATACATGGGAGGCTTATTTGTTTGTCTTATCTGAACCACAGAAGTTATTTCTACCTTGTAAACTGCATATGTCAATTGGCGAACTTGCTGCAGAAGACCAAATCCAAGGTACTAGTGAGGTGTACCTTGGAGTTTCCCGTTCATCTCATTCTGATACTATTATAGCTGGCTTAAATTGTTTAGCTTCATCCGGGAAAAAAAAGAGGGGGGGTGGGGTGGGGGGCTCCAGTTACCATCTGAAACGTTTTTGAGGGTGTTTCTTTCTGACCTAGCATTGCTTGCCTCTGTGCTTTTGCTTTCTATGATCTAGTAAAGGTGTTTCCTACCTCCTTAATCTGCAAAATGTTGAAAGAGAATTTGTTTTGATGCTTCGGCACTCACTAACAAGGATACTACAGCCCAATGGTTGAATGAGTTTTCAGCTGGTGTTGCTCAGATGTGTTGCTGTGGACTATGGCATCTGCCTTTAATTACACATGATTTTTGCAACCCTTCCATGTTAAACAATTGATAATATAAAAGAGAAGGGGAAGCCGAAGAAGATTACATATTAAGAAAAAGAAATTGGAAAATCTTTTCAGTAAAGCACAATATGTTGAAGTGGGGAAAGACTCCCTGATGCAAGTGGTAAAAGAAAGTGGAAAAAATAAATGGTCCATTTTTGTTTAAGCTCTTTTTCATTGTTTTTTCCCTTTGATGTGTCATGGTGCAGGGCTTTCAAGATACACTAGTGATGAAAACCTTAAAAAAGCATTTGAACAATTTGGAAAACTTGTTGAAGGTAATAATTAGATATTTTCCCTCCCATCCTCCTCTTTTGTTTTGCTAGATTCTAATTTAACTGTGATAAACTTTCACCAATTTTATTTGCTATGTATTGATTTACAGCGAAAGTTATTACTGATAGAGCAACTGGGAGATCAAAGGGATTTGGATTTGTTTCATATGAAACAATAGAAGACGCTGAGAAGGCTCGTGAAGGAATGAATGCCAAGTTCTTGGACGGCTGGGTAATTTTTGTTGACCCTGCGAGGCCAAGTATGCCTAGACCACCACCATCACCACCTCCACAAGATCCTTTGAACTTTGGGATTACGACAAATAAGACTGTTGGTTGGACTGGCCGATGACCAGGGACTCATTATTTTAGTGAAATATTTATTTGATTGCAATATAGCACGGAGTGGCCAATGACCAGAGACTCGTGCATTTCCCTGAAATATTTGATTGCACTATATCATTTTTGTTGAAGGATATTGTAACTTTACTAAAATATAGTTCATTTTTAAGGTTGTCTTGTGCTGAATCGTTTGAGGTGGAACTCTTCCCTGCGAAGTGTTTAAGGATTTCCTCGGACCACATTTTGGAGGCTTTTGTTGACTGAACATATAAACTGGCTAATTGTTATCTCAATGACGTGTATTTGGATCCTAGATTATAATTTCCGTGGTGGTTATAGTATTTTGATGCCCTATCTTCATTTACTCAAATTTTGTGCAGTTATAACATGTGGATTTGAGAATGGGATTGTTCTGTGACTTGTGCAATCTCATGCTACCCTGCAATAGGGGACGGAATTTTTAAATCCTGTTATTTGGTTAATTCACTAATTGTATGTCCACCCTCNCATGCTCTCTAGTGTCTAGTCTTCTCTATTTTAGAAGGGAATTCGTTTTATTCACTTGATCTCTATCATTATCTTATGTCAACCAATGTCACAAGCAGGAGGGTGTTAAGTTATATTATGTTCCTCATTGCTTGTGTAAAGCCATCCAAAGGGTTGACAAGGGTCTTTTTTATGCGTAACAATGATATCTTGACTAGCTTACGTGCACCTCAACTAATTTATCGAGTATATGTTACTTCCTACAACACAAGTACTAGGTAACTATGTATATCTCTAAGTTGCTTTTCCCAAATATAATGGATTCCTAATTACTTACAAGAAAAAATACAATAGGTTCCTAATTCCGATAATGTACAACAACAAATCCAGTATAATCCCACAAGTGAGGTTCAAGGAGGGTAGTGAGTATGCAGTCTTACCCCTACCTTGTGCAAGTAGATGCTGTTTCCGATACTCTTGACTCAAGTATAATTCCGACAATGTGAGATTAATAATCATTAGCTTACAGAAACAGAATGTAAATTTGGGATTGATAGCTATGTAGGTCTTAAGTACTTTTCCACAAATAGGATAGGCAAGTTTCCGCTACAAAACTAAAATGGTCGTATGTCAAAGCGAAAGCCAGCTAAATTTTCAACAAAGGAACCACAAAGAAGCGAGTCGTACTAGGAAGATTATTTTCAGTCAAAGGTACGTCTTAAAACAAACTCAAACTAGTTCAGCGACAACCAGACCATTACTCAAGCACAAACACAAGTTCAGTGATAAACCAAACGTTAAGAAAGTGAATGTATTTTTATCTGCAATCAACCCCAAAAACTCGGGCAATGATGTTCGGAAATTAACAAAAGAGTTGATCGAAGAAAAGTAGTCTCAACTCCAAGCTGCTCACCAGGGAGCTCCCAACCTTTCAATTCACGCCTGTGTTCTGCTAACTTTCCAAGCTACTTGGTCTTGCCATTCAAATACCAAGTAGCTCGGAAAAGGAAAAGGGAGAGAAATTCCATGCGGCAAAGGGAAAACGCGCAGAGCACCTCAATGTGCCTCTCATTGTGAAAAAGAGCGTATTCACAAGTCTGTCAGCTAGACCCTGCCAATCATGACAAGGAAATTCAGATTAAAACAAATAGAAGAAAGATGAGGGAAGGATCATCAAAACACTTATTTTAGCAGCAAAACAAATTACTATCAAATACTTGCGATGATTAAAAAGAAAATCAAGCAAAAATCACTTTCAAGCATCGAGATACAATCGCTTGGCCAAAGAAGAAAAGACCGTATAGGAATGAATACTGCACTTGGAGGTGAAAGGCAGGCTGCAGGTAACATAGTCATCTATATGCTTGATCAGGCTATTATGGAGATATAAATGCTATAGAATGTGGGGAAGAAGAAACCAGAATATAATCACCGACCAGATAAAAGATATCATATCTAGCAATGCCAAATTAGGATGGCTTGCTGATTTAAACACAGGGCCCAGAAGGCTCTGAAGCAATCTTATTTATAGAGTTCCAACATTGTGAATCACATATTCTATTGAATGTATCAGTTGTAAAAGTATATTTTAGCATGACGAGAACTAGATATAATTTTTGATGACCGAGACATCCATATGGGGCCACCCCTTAGGACCAGCTGCAACCTTCGAAACTCGGGGATAATGAGCCCGCCCCTCTACCCTTCTCCTCCTAAAATCATGCTTAGTTCGCATGGTGTAGGGCTTGAACTTGTGATCTAAGTCGCAAGTCCCTCAACCTTTGCCACTTGAATTAAGCCTGGGAGCCTGGGCCATGAAGAGAACTAGATATGATTTAACTAAATCCAAAAATTAAAGAACTCGTCTTAGATTTCAAGGATTAGATGAAAATAAAGAATATTAAAAATATAGCTAACACTTCTAAGCTCTTTGAGATGACATTAGAACATTTTGTCACTATGAATTGCAGCCAAAGTATTAATGGAAGAGAGTCCCATGTAGGTAAAAAAGAAATAAAACTATGCTTAAGTGCTGTTAAACAGCAAACATATCCTTTAGTCAGGCTATTCCAAATCTGCTAAGCCCATGTCTTATGAGAACTCCTAGCATATGTCCTACATAATCAAGATACTAGAAGTACAACAAAAGAAGCGGAAGTACAAGTGAAAAAGAAAAGCGCCAGCCCGGTGCACAAAGCATTCTGCAGTGAGATGTAGGCAACCTACCCTAATACAAGCATTAGTGGCTGCCTCTACGGCTCTACTTTTGTAAATTTTCAACCTCCAGAGAAGAAAACTAATTCAAAGGCAGCTTGTATCGACTATAGACTTTATAAGCAAATAATATACCACCATCGTCATCAACAACATAGAAAATTCTCAATCCCTAACTAGTTGGGATCACCTACAAAAATTCTCAATCCCCAACTAGTTGGGATCACCTATATGAATCCTCTACGTCCATTCTACTCTATTAGGCCTCAATTCATTCCGATACTCAATAAGCAAACAAAACCATCCAAGCAGGCAGCAATAAAAGAGCATAAGTCTAACTATCTTTATATGCTAAACTACTTCAAATAAAAAATTCTTAAATAACACCTAAAAAACAAACTGTAAATTGAGCCTCTTGCATACGAAATAATCGATATGACAAAAGGAGAAAGTACAAACCTCGGGGAACCAGCATTCATATTCCTCCGAAGAATCCGACCCTCGCTATTTGATTCACCCGATTCAATCAACTCCTTCAATCCCAAATTCCCTACTTTCTCCTCTTTCTCAACTTCCTCTTCCTCTTGCTTCTTCTTCGTAACCTTAACAGTAGTAACTCTTTCAAAATAATTCCCATAAATATACTCAGGCGTATACCCATTTTCCTCATCAAACAACATAATATGACCATGCCATTCCCATACCCGATAATCCGAACCCGGGTCCTCATGAAACCCGACACAAATATGATGCTCCCCAATCGTTACAGCCTGACCCGAATTGGGTTTTAAAGTTTCAATTTTCCCACTAAGAATTGTACGGATAATTTGTTTTTCAAGACGGGATTCTTCCTTTGAGAGCTCGGATTTTGAAGAGGAACTAAAATCTTGATCTTCTTCTTCGTCGTCATCGGAAGGGAGATTGTTGAAGAGAAGGTCTTCTAGGGATTGAGGTGAAAGGAAAGGCGGTGGGATTGAAGTTGAAGGAGGAGGACGAATTTGGAGTCGACCCATTAATGATTGGAGAAGGAGATTGTCGAAATTGGGATTCATGTTTGTGGTTTTAGAAGAGGTTTTTGGGGTTTTGGTGGGGGGAGACTATTTTTTGATTAGAATTTTCCTTTTTGTATTGTATGTGTAAAAGTGAACCAGCTAGTGGGCTGACAAATATCTTTGGGACTTTGTTTTGAGGTAGCAGTGTTTGGGTCAAATGGGGGGTTTATACATCTGATTTAGGGGCTCGTTTGATACGAGGGATAATAAATAATTAATTTTCGGATTAAATTTAAAAAAAGTTTATCACATGTTTGGTTAGGAGAAAATTGCGGTATAATTAATTTCGGGATTGTAGTGTTTTTTTATCCCATTAAAAGGTAGAATAACTAATCCGAGGTTAATTTTTTTTCAATTTGTACACGGGATAAGCATAATAATCTCGGAATAAAGTTTAGAATAAACTTCATCCTATATTTTGTTTGGGGTATTAGCTAATCTCGTAATAATTTTTATAATTAAACGGTGGAATTAGTTATCCCATATAAAATGTGGGATAACTAATCCTATGGGATATAGCACCCTATTGGATATTATGGGATATACTACTATTGTATCAAACGACCCCCAAAGGATGTCAAAGGTTTTTTGTTTAACACTTTCACTTAAACCATAAATTCATATTACTAGATTCTACAGCAACAACAAAAAAAAGAAGCCTTTTGAGGAATAATTTTACAAGATGCATAAAGAGAGAAGCACGTTTAGTATTGAATGTTGTGGTCTAACTGTCAAGGAAATGGATGAAAATTATGCGAGATTAGTGTTTAAATCTGATGTGAAATCATATGTCTAAAATCTGATGAATAAAGTCAATATCTATAATGGTGAAAGATGATAAATATAATCAAGGTACACCTAGACTGAGCTGATCACACCATGCGATTTATCAAAAGAAGAAATACTCACCATGCAACAAAGCTAGAATGTGGCTCCAATCAATGCTCTTAAGTTACCCTTTCTATTTTTCGGATCACGAGTAACAAGTGGGTAAAAACTTACCCGCACGGTCGCACCGGGTGTTTACACCAAACCAATAAATACATGACATGACATGTATCTTTTATATGGACTTCAATCATTTAACCATGGTAAATTATATACATTCTGATCTAATTAAATTATTAACCATAATGAGTTAGTAATATAGGAGATTATCTCAATTTATTACATTATGATATGATGTGCCCACCAAATTCAAATAAATTTGTCTCACCCTATCTTCGAATACCCATCTAATTTATCGAATTTCTTTATCTTGCAAGGTGTAATCAAACGGTTACTTTGTTTACTGTTCTAATGATTCATAACTTTATCAACTGAATCCAATTTAGGAGAACTGAGAACATTCTTGATCACTGTGAAACTAGTGAGGGTAGATCTATCGCAGTGGTTTTGAGTTCACGTGAATTCAGTAACTTTTGTTCAAATCTTATATTTATATTAAGAAATTTAATAAATATATTTTTATTTTGAAATTCAATCCGTTGGTATATATTAACGTGAGATCACTATAAGTTTGCGTAAATTTTAAATCCTGTATCTGCTCTCTATGAAAAATTGGTAGAGCTCCGTGCCCCCTCCATTCCAAGGATGCTTTTAATAAATAAAA